AGCGCTCACTGTTAGGATTATTTTGACGGCCACTGTACCTCTGCACTCGCATGCCCGCATGTACACATACATACATACATATGTACATATGTTTGTATGTAAATCAACCAAAAGTTGAGGTCTGTGCGCAGAGCAGACCATAAGATAATCGCTTGAAGCATTTAACGCATTTGTTTGTGGAGATGCCACACAAAGAAACCAACCCAAGAACAGCCTTAACAACGGATTCTCTGAGATAAATTCACTCAAATTTCACTTCATTTATCACGAAATCCATCAACAGAACAGCCAGCAGGAGCACGCCGAGAGCAAAGGAGGAGATGGTGGTATATGGAGGAGGAATACCCATCTACCCATGCAAGTTACTTGCATTTATTTGATTTTGATTAATCGTCAACGAAAATTAAGCGGAATTCGTGGATGCTGCTGCTGCTGTTATTGTCCGCTAATGGAGTTTCCTTTGCCTGACAGGAAACTGCATTTACATATGTATGGATGTACCACCAGACGGCGAAAGAGAGAGAGAGAGAGAGAGAGAGAGAGAGAGAGAGAGTGAGAGATGTGCATATGTATCTGGCGGATTTCATTTCACTTGCCTCGCCTCACAGCAAAATTCCATGCCAATGTTTTGACAAACAGCAGCAGCTGCCGCCTACTCCGCATTCAGCATATCCGCATCTCCTCAGTGCTGAACGACACGACGACGAACGCCTCATCCTCATCATCCACGCAGACGGACAGAACCCATACCCATACCCAGCCATCTCTGGGACTCTCCTTGGTCGTCATTTTCACGCGCTCTCCTCACAGCACATGTGTGTTCCACACGCTGGCGACAGATCGCATCGGATCGCTTGGAATGGAATGGGATTGATCCGCAGAACAGGATATGCGGATGCTGCACTCGAACCACCGCAGGGGAACGGAACCGAGAAAATAAAACTAAGCAAACAATCACTACTTATCCGATAATGAATGGACATGATCTTGATATGAACATAAAAGCGGTAGAAAATGTTCAGAAAGAAGGCAACAACATTAAAGGATATACCTATAGAATAAGTTTCCCATGATATCATTATTTATAGTGTGAACATTAATCAAACACTTCATTCAAATATAATTGATGCTTGTAACTTCCCGTTCCTCTAGTTAATATTTCCATCTTTCAGCAACCCTTTCCGTTGCGCAACAATTTTCTCAGTATCAAACTGATATTTTTCACACCTAAGTACGCCAATAAAGGGAATACTCATAATAAAACCTATTATATTGCATTATTACAGGCACTTTTCTAGTCAGGTTTTATTGGGGAAAGTACGCGTTTAAATTGCTATTAAGCTTCGCTCGTGTTTGCAGTTCCTGGAAACATAAGCTAATCTTATGCGGACTTTAATTATAATTCTAGTATTTGCATTGCCTTTAGGCCAGCCCAATGTCAGAGTTATGGCTGATTTAATGATATCCACGTAGCAGCGATCCGACATTATTAACACCGTCGCCAGATCAGACAGAAAACAATTGTCTGATTCCGCCTGAAGACGCGACCAGACGGCATTAAGAGCGATTTTGGTGGTCGCGTCGTCGGCTGTCTAGTCGGAGTTTCTGCTGATCGCTCAGAATGAAAACGCACACACAGAGAGGGCCCCCAAGACAAATCAATGACCTCTTTTGCGTGACAGAAAAAAGCGAACAAAATAAATCGACAGGTTGGCATTTAAATTAAAGTAAAAATAAATGCAATTTTCACCAAGGAAATTCGCGCGTGTGAAAAGTGCAAGCCACGAAACTATTCGGTCAATGGTCAGCACAAACGTCAGTTTGAAATATAATATATATGTTTTAGATGTTCGACAAGGGTACAGTTGCTGTTGTTTATTTATGGGCATGTTTTTCTCGAAAAGATCTGTAACTTATGCGCCGAGGCAGCTCAAATTTGCACTAACATGCAGTCTCGAAAATTGTAGATGCAGGCACACGTTTGGTCATAAAAGCAAGTGGTTTTTAGAGCAGAAAATATGATTATTAGATGAGTTACTGTGTGGGGTGCAAGGGTTTATTATTTATACTAGTTGAGATAATATGTATTTCCGTTCCTTTGCAATGAAGCAATTGCTGCCCAAAACAATCTCGACCCACTGGAATATCAATGAAATCGAAATATGATACGTTTAGCGGGTATCCCATAGTCGAAATATTGCCTCTATCATTCTGACTTGTTTTTGTTTCCCTTTCCGTTTACTATTATTATGACTATAATAATTTTATTTTGTTTGTTTACGTGTACAGGCGGCGGCAGTGTTGGCGACGACGGCAGACCACAAAATTGATAAGATTAGGTTGGGAACTACCAAACCTATAACCTAAACAGCGGCCAGTCGGTCGGTCATATACCTGAGAATTAGTACTGACATCTACACACACACTCACATTACATTTCTGTTATCATCGAATTTCTATATCAGTTTAGAAAGCATAGAGTTCTGTTTTGTTGAAGGCGATTCCACGAAACAGTTCTCGAGTGCTTCGATTCGATCATCATAGACGTACAGCACAGCCCGTTCATGGAAGCGACTTGTGATGTGAGAAGAGGAAATGGAACTGTAGCAGGGACTCTGGTGGAAGCCCTTTGCTTCAGCTTAAAGTTTCAATCACAAAACGTCACAAGTGACTTTCCTTTGAAACATTTTCGAGGTAAAAATCTATCTGATTTGCCTGTAAGTGTGCTGTGCCTGTGTCTTTGCCTATGTCTATGTCTGATATCTTTTGTCTTTGAACACAATGCCCACATCAAAAGGTGTTTTTCGTATTTGTTGCGCTTTCGTAGGGTTTTATCTTGTCTGTTGTTTGGCATTTGTTGCGATTTGTCATGGGCGCAAGCAACCGCCTGACTAAAAGAACAACCAGAAACGGGGCAGGGCCACGGGACAGGCAACGAAGAACCCCCCGTGGCGAATTTATGATTAAGAGAAACTGAGGTCTGAGGTCTGGGTACTGGGAATGGAAATGGGATTGCGACTGTGACTGTGACTGCACAAAGCAAATCATATAATCAGACAGGTCTGCAGCTGAAGCGCATTAAAATGCAGATCAAAGAAAGAATTTAAATAATATTAAATGGAAATTATTTGAGGCTTCAAGAAAATGACGTCTACATTCTACAACATTTCGTTCGGTTTAAGTCGCTTTAATCAGAGATTAATCACAAAGGAAATCCGATTTTTGAGGCAGAACATTCGTATGACTTCCGTTGCATTTTTCTGATAACACTTTGCTAGGCATCTTTTGTGTTTAAATATTTGCTTCATGACGTGTTTGGAATGACTTAGTTCCCTGTTAAAATGTGTATCATACGGCAGTGACCTCATGCGAATACAATTATAGAAAGGTTTGGTAGGTGTCTAACTGCGATAAATAAAATCATTTATTCCAGTCGCACTTAAACGCAGAATGGAGTGAGAATCACTTGGAATCGGGCTGTTTGTGTGCTAATAAAATTATCCACAAAAGTGTTGTTGCCTTTGCCTACAATTCCTATTTGAATAACATCTTATCAGGGTTATTAAAAGATCTAAAGAATGAGGGGGGATTATCATTACATATCAACTCAGTATCTATGGCTGTTTGTGTATTCCCTAATCCATCCCCACGCGCAGTCATAAACTTCGTTGCGTGCCCATTCCCCAGAGACCAGGTCCCAAAATCAAATCAAATGCTCAGATGCATATCAAAATAATCTAAGCAAATGAAATGAAATGAGATGACAACAAAGTTGGGCACACACACACAAAAAAGGCATAAAATATGGGCAAGCAACACCCCAGAGAGAGAGAGAGAGAGGGAGAAAGATAGCGGTGGTGGAGGTGGAGGTGGAGAAAGAGAGAACAAGAACTCTGGCACCCATAAAATTGACAGCTGATCTTTTTTGTTCGTTCTTTTCCTTTTTTGTTTTTGGTTTTGTATTTTGGGTATCAGAGCAAGGGGTGCTCCATTGTATTTCCCCTGCCACTCGATCTGTCTCTTTCTCTTCTCAATCTGTTTCCCGGATTCTACCTGCTTGAGGGTCATAAAAAATTAAGAAAAACATGGGCAAACTCAGGAGTGGAAAAAAGGAGACAGCGACAGGCGGAGACATCGCATATTTTAAGCCGATGCGATGGGATCTCCTTGGGATGGTCAGGGTCTTCTGTACAAATCCCTGCCACACTTGGCATACATAGAATAGGATTTCGAAACGAACTGAACAGCAAAACGCAATTAGAAACACAACGAAAAAACCAAACGAATTTCAATTGAAAACATAAGAAGAGAGGGAATCGGCCCAACAGGATATGCTCAAAGATTTGTAATATGAGCGCTGCATACTTATGAGACGACAATGATCATGGCACAATGATAATGGCACCATGATCATGTACGCCAGCCATTGGCCAAAGTCTGTCTGCACCGCCGATCAGCTCCACGATAAGCGGGCCAAGACCAGGCCAGCGCCAGTGAAAGCTTTAGGGGGAAAAATCTCTTAGAGAATCGCAAATAAAACTATAAATGGACAAGAACAAGAGTCAGCCAAAAGCCAGCCATTCCCCAGGGAAACTCAAATCGGGGGAAATAAATAAAGTGCCAATACGAATGTTGGATGCACTAACAACACTTTGCTCCTGTTAATCTCTTTCTAAAATCTACAAGATCTTCAAGGTAGATTAGAAATAAAGGACAACGAATGCAGCACCCAAACATACAAAAGAAATAGATTTCTGTTCCAAGAATTTCTAGACGGTACTCCGTATATTTCGAGGACATTCTTACAAAAAACAGTATAGATTCCAGCTGCTTAGATTTCGCCCCAAAGTTACTTTATGGCAAGCATTCCCGCAGATCGTTTGAGATTTGTAGATTGCTCAAAGTTGCAGCACGAATGCCAACATCGTATCGTACTCCTCCGACTCGCATTCGTTTTGAGAGAGTATAAAAAAGCAACGAAATGTTATATTAATATTTACCATGAGCCTTCTTCTTTCTGGATTTCGGCGCCATGTCTGATTGTTATACGGGGGGGGCGGTGATGCGAAGGGCAGTCGACAGGCGGCTGCAATGCAACTTTGTTGGTGTTGTGCTTGTGTTCTTCCTCCTCTCTTTTCACAGAGTCTTCCTTTGCACACTCTCTTCACCTTTCGTCTCGCTCCTTCTCTGCTGTTCTACACTCCACTCTTCTGGGCTGTGCAACAAAACAATAAACGCGGAGCAGTGGGCAACAAAAGCAAAACAAAAGCACAGGATCTCAGGAGGGGAGGGATCGTATCTCTCTATCTCTCTCTCTTTCTTGCTCTGTCGCTGTGTGCGCTGTAGAACTGGATTCGTGTGCTCTCTTCTTTTGGGTTTTGTTTATAGCGCCCCGTTCAGGAGCAGGCAGCTGAGAGGGGGGACTATGGCGGCGGCGTCGGTCAAGCCGGCGACACCATGGAGCCCAATGTAGAAGAAGCAGACGCAGAATTATGGGTTTTGGCCAAACTTGATCCTTGCAGGGAGGGCGGAACGGATGCAAGAAGCTTTTGCTGGTGTTGTTGTTGCTGTTGCCGAATATGGTGTTGGATCCGTTGTTGTTGTTGTATCCTCTTGTGTGTTTGCGTTTGTGTTTGTGTGTGTGGTGTGGTGTGAGCGCGTGATCACGTTGATTATAATTATATACGAGAGGTGGCAATACAAATCAGGTGAAATTCAATCCTCAATCCTTTTTCGTTTCTCTTTCTCTCTCTTGTTATTTTGCTGGCAAATTAAATAACGTTTTGCACTATTTTGTTTGGGTTTTAATCGATCAGCACTGGCACAAAATAAACACTATTTATATAATTTTTAATCGATTTCTCTGCATACATAGATTTTTTTCTTGTGTTCTCCTGTTGATTATTTTTAGTTGGGCACAGATTTGATTTGAAACACGCTATTTTGTATATTTTTAGTTTATAATATTATCCGTAAACATGTGTGTATTATTTATACACCCTCGAGTGTGTTGTTCGGACACGAAGCGTAGGTAAACATCAGAAACAAATGCACGAGTCGCGTACCACATGTCACAAACTGAATGTGCAGCAGATAAAAACATAAACTATATTATTTGTATTGATAATAAATTTGTGTTATTTTCGTTATTTTTGTGTGATATTATCCACGGATGAGTTGTACAGATATCACGAATTTTCTACCCAAACACACGAAAATCTCGAACCCGGAGCGACGCGGCCGTAGCTTCCAAGATTCAAAACAATTTCAGCGCGGGGTTTCCTGAACAAGAATATATATGCCCATAGTACGCTGAGAGCACATGTTGCGGAGAGTGCATGTTGCCAAGAACCGGTTTCAGAGTGTGATGCGACAACGAAGGAAGCAGCAGAAATGTTGCAGTAGTTGTTCTAGCACTAGATTTTCGGTGAATCGATTTACCCGATTTGCTTGCAAATGAAAATCAATTGAATAGAAAAATCCAAAACAAATGCAAATGTTTTCGCATAATTGTTTTGCAGTTCTACCTAGCACGCCCTGTAAAAAGGTTTAAAAAAGCAACATTTAGTTGCAGCACTTGTTGCGCTCTCCTGGCAACATTTCTTAGCAACAGCTGAGAGAGCAATTCGGACTGAGAGAGCAAAAAGCCGACGAGAGCCGAGAGAGCCAACAAACAAACCGAGAGAGAAAGCACTTGAATTTCAAGTTTTTTCACCCAAGTATGAGTGTATCTATATGTGTGTTTGCGGTGCATCTGTGGCTGTGTGCCCGAGCGTGTGTATCTTGATCTTTGGTTAGCATCGTCGTCTCCTTCGTATTCGTGGCCGTTGTCTGTGCGCTCGTATTTCGTTGCTGCTTATTATAACTGACGTATCTAGATACGGCTGCAATGGGTGGAGAAACTGGGGGACGTGCCCCAGGAAGAGGCAGTGGCAATACAGCGGAACTGGGAGGGGCTTGGTCGGAGCATAATTGCAGAGCCCTTTTGCATAAAGGGGGCAGGCAGCATGCATGCAACAATAATAACAGTTTTGGTCGAATTTGTTAGCGATTCGAGGCAACACAGCGAGCAAGCCAGTGATTAGCAGCAACACCATTGCCCAGCTAATGGTTTGACTCCTTTTGCCGTTGCTCTCACGAGCGTATCCACGAGATACACGCTGTGCATAGTTGGAGATATCATTTAGGTTGCGGTTGCCCCTACAACTCTTCCCCTGTTTGCTGTCCAGCCTCTTTCTTTTTGCCTTCATTAGCCGCACAGTAGTCGCGGCTAATTATGGTCTACGATAGGCTTCTCTTTGTGGTCTTGCCACGGCCTGGTACCTGGTGTCAGAAGCGCTTAGCACTTCTTCCTTTCTAGCCACCAGGTAGCAGGTCCTAGACCCTCACACACTCTGAGCACTTTTGACATTAAAAACGCATTTGAGAGATATCTGTGATCCGCACTTCAAGGAATATAAAAGCTTAATATCATCTTAATATCCATCCGCAGGTCAACATTTGTGTTCCATTGCCCGTAAAAAGGCTGTACAAATATTTCAATGATTATTTCAACTATCACATGGACTCAGCCAAGAGTTATTTTCATTTGTTTTGTTCATGGTTAATGGCCAGCGATAACCCCCAAGTGAATGCACCCGAACTCCAACCTCAAACTCCACCAGTCGAAACCCCCGGCCGGGGGACTGATCTCCCGTTTATTATCACGCCCGTGGCCATAATTCATTTTGCTCCTTCGCCCCGGTCTGGCTTTGCTCTGCTTTTGTCTAGTCCAATCTATAGCTGATGCCCTTTTAGGACCCATTCCACTCCATGCAGCTCCCTGAACGCCCAGATTTCTTAGTGTTTGGTTGTTGTTGTGGCAGCCACTTCTCTCTGCTGCTCTGCCTGCCCCCTGCCTTTGCCCTCGAGGTGTGATTTCTCAAGTGTAGGAGTCATGCGGCGCACAGCCAGACGCGGCACCAAGCGACCAGCAAACTGCAGCCGGCCAGAGGGCCACCGTTTTTGGTGGAACCAGAAAATCAAGTTGCTTCTACAGATACCCTTGATCAGATATCCGCCGAAGGGGGAACCAACATCATTGAGTAATCGGAATCAACAGCAGCAATAAATTGCGTACAATCATTCAAGAATCATGCTGTAGCTTTGGCTTTATAATTTCTTAAATTAAACATCAGTTTGCGGGTGCAAAATGTATTGAAAAGGAACTTTGGTTTATTGCTTTCTCTTCGTTGATACCAAGAATGGGCATAATTTCGAGCGATAATGTCCCCCGAATGGTTCTCTGAACAGTTGATAAACTGTGAACCATTGAACCAAACTCAAAGATTTCAAATAATATGGATCCAAAACAAAGTGAGCAGACGGCCACAAATATTTCTTAAAAATAATCACGAATAATCCATCCCTTGAGAATGCATTGAGAATATTTTTTAAGCGTAAGAAATATGCAGACAGCAAGTCTTGACACCAACCAGACACCCTTGGGGCTATTAAAAAACTGGATTAGGAAGAAAAATACTTATAATCTAGACAGAATGTTTTAGTTGAACAATAAAAGATATTCCGGCTCATAAATTGGTAAGACTTTTCACACATTTTGCTTACTTGAATCATAATTTACCATATTCTTATCTACATTTTCTATGGCCACCAAAAGTGTTTTATATTTTGTTTGATTCGTTAACTTGGTATTCCCATGTATAAGTTTTAGTGCAGCAGAGTTGGTCTGATGCATGCAACGTGGAGTGAAGTGAAATGCATTTGATTAGAGGCAAAAGAACTCTGAAATTCTTTCTAGCGCGAAATTTCCATACGATTTTCGTGCTAATACGCGTAATGGAGAAGGAGCAAGAGATAAACGTGAGGATTTGCTGCAGTGCCCAATTAGCACCTGTGCTAAAAAGCCCCTAACCGAGACACGACTCCAATTTACCTGTTCCATTAGCACTGCACTGTGCTTTGAAATTTGTGTTTGAGTTTGAAGAACTGTCTGTGTTGGGAGGAGGAGCAGGAGGAGCAGCATCAGGAGATGGAGGTGGAAATCCCAGAAATGAATCGAGCAAATACCCATTATTCTCCGTTGTATACAATACGAGTATAGAAATGTACAATAGAACTCGTATTCCATTTTGGAATTTTCGAGTATTTCGTGTGAAAAGCGGGCGGCGGCACAGGCAGGGGGAACACTTTCCACACAATAAACATATACAGAACCAGGGCCCAGCCAGACAGAGTGGCGGGCCCAATGGATCGTTTGTATCTGTAACGAATCTGTATCTTTGGGTTTATTGTTAGAACTCACATTAGACACAGATACAGCTACATATACAGATACAGGCAGTAACCTTCTCTCTGCTGCTCTGTTGCGCAGGGTCACTCTCAACATTCTCAAACATGGCCAACAGATGTGCGCAACAGGCTCCCAAATCAGACAAAAGGCAAAAGGGTCTTCCACTGTATACATAACTGAGAGAAAAGGTTCTCGAGGAGATGTCACTTGGAGTGTGGCTTGGCCTTAAATCAAAGTCAAAGGCAAAGATCCCATGCCAGTCCCAAAAACAAAGCAGACACACAACAGATTCTTGGTTCTCTTGGCTCTTTTTGTTGGTAGCAGCAGCGGCCAGCCACTACTGTCCAGCCATCTCACAGATACCACAGAGCGGTCTCTTCGTATGAATGTATCTGTGTGTATCTGCAGCATGGAAATTTTCGTAGAGTACCAGAAATTTGTGTCAACGTGGGCGACAGTTTTCATTGTGTGTATAAATAAACTGAAAGACATTTCATGCTGTCGGCAACATGTGGAAAAATGCTTGGAATTTGTTCCATTCTTGCACACTTTTGCAATGCTTTTTGGATCTCAGAGATACAGAAAAACAATCAACTCGAAAACGAGACCAAATCGCGTGGTTGGAACTTGCCAAGGTGGTGGCGTAAATGCAGCTCAGTCCCTTTGAGTCTGTTGCATCATTAACACTCTCGAGTGGTGCCGTGTGCCCCCCATTCCATGACTGTTCATCATCAAAGTGAAGTGCAATTAAGCATGCAACAGGCCCTCTTCTTCCACCATCTTTCCTCATTTTGTTTCCTTCTCGGGTTCGTTTCGATTTCTGTTCTTTCTGTTCTCTTCTCTGCTGCACTTCACGCTCCCAAGGTGAGAGGTGTTAAAGTTTTATGGAATTTCAACAACGATAAATTATAATTACACGCAGTGTTGCGCATAAATCTACCCACACACACACCACACTCTTTCATAAATGCCTGCACACTCCCGCGGAGAGTCTTCAACCCCCAAGCGACTTGGAGCGCGTCAAACACAATTTGTACACGCATCAAGAATCCGCACCCCTCGCCATTAACACCTTTTGAGGGTGATTCTAGACCTGTCTAAATGTATTAGATTCAAAACAAAATTAAACGCAAAACTAAACCAATAATGCCACGCCATTGGGGGCAGAACCAAAAACAGAACCGCATATTTTCCAACTACTTTCAAGAATATAATTTGTCGAGTTAGTGTCAACATCCTCGATAGTATAGTGGTCAGTATCCCCGCCTGTCACGCGGGAGACCGGGGTTCAATTCCCCGTCGGGGAGAAATGTACACATTTATTTTTTTTCTTTTTTTTTGTTGCTCTCATTGAGAATGTAATTTTTTATGTATATTACTTTAATTATGGAAAGCAAAACACAATTTTTAAACGCATCAAGAACATTCTTCCACCATGAAGTTGATTCTATTCATGTCTATACATGCATACATTAAATTAAACAAGAAACTCCACACAATGGCACACAAAAACGAAAGAGCGGGCAGAATTAACTGAAAAAAAAAGAACAAGCGACATAGTCTGGCGATGTTGAAGTTAAGCTTTTAGCGAGCCGCTTCCAACATCCTCGATAGTATAGTGGTCAGTATCCCCGCCTGTCACGCGGGAGACCGGGGTTCAATTCCCCGTCGGGGAGAGATGTAAAAATTCTTTTTTCGTTAGTTTTTGTATTTTTTATTAAATTTTCAAATCAAAATTTTAAAATATCACTGATATTTGGCAGTTTTTTGATGTGCAAATGGATTATATCCGATAAGGGAGCCACACTATTCAGTAAATATAAATTGCAAATACTTATGAATTTTGATGTGTACTAATATGGGAGAGTGATGGAGTACCAAAAGGAGAAGTAAACCGAATGCCAGAAGCAATCACTTAAACAAAATTAAGTAAATAAATTAAGCAAAAAAGAAGAAAGGTAA